CCTATTAGACCTACTTTGAATGACAAAACGAATTTATTTGATTACCAATATTTACTTTATAGGCTTTTATACTTTAATTTACTTTATAGACTTGATACTGTATGCTACAACCATATAAAACTTGCTCAGGTTTTGCTTGCTTCCGCCTGTTCGCGTACACTGTAAAAAAATCTATTGTTTAATGTCAGTCAAAAGTCTGGCAGGTCCTGAAGGCCAATAGTGCTGATGTATATTTGCATATGTAACAGGTTGTTATTTTAATTTTGTTTATAATTATACAAGATTCTTGTTTTCTTTTTTCTGTTTAACCTGATGGGTACGATATCCCTTAATTTTTCCCATGATGCTCTTGTCCTGCATTGCCCCTCCCGCTGTATTTTCTCCTTTAAAAGGGTCCCGATTTCGTTTCCTCTTCCCTTTGTTATACCGCACACGCGGGAAGAGGTGAGGATCTAGTGGCAGGGTCCCTTGGGTTAATAAATCAGTTATTTGTTATAATCAGTTAATTCATTCTATAATATGAATAGGGGTTAAAGACATGTCCATATATAATATGAATATGCGTTATTTTACTTTGTGTAGAGAGAGCGAGAGGGCCTGAGCACATGTGGTTTATCCCCCCTCTAATTGTTTCAAACAGGTATGTCTTTATTTGTATAAATTTACTTTATTAATATTATTTTTTTTGTATTATACTCAGCGCAAATAATGTGTGCATAGCCCTTTGTTGTACCGCACACGCGGGAAGAGAGAGAGCGAGAGGGCCTGAGCACATGTGGTTTATCCCCCCTCTAATTGTTTCAAACAGAGTTCAATAAACCCCCAGAACGACAGCGACGTCTGCTTCATCCCCTTTCTTCTGCACCCCGCACACCTGTATAAACACACAACACAACGCAGAGTATAGGCAGAAATCCACCGGTTACACATAGCATGACAGGGTACTGCCTTTATTTAACCTTTTAACCATGATGGTGTTGAATAGGGCAACAGTATAAATTCCCCAGCCACGGTATAAAACAATTTCCACCACAGCAGTGTATTCTTGAAGAGTCTTGTTTGGTGGCAGACATAAAAATAGATTCAGGTAAGTTTTTCTGCTGTAATATTGCGGCACTCCTCACATAGCGAACTGTTTCAGGCACGTGAACTATACCCCGAAAGACCAGTGAGTTTATGTGTAGTGTTAGACTAACCTCTGCGCCCACTTATGTTTAAATTTCCAAAACAGGCTGAACGAAGATTGACGTCACACGCAAAACAGAGTAGGATTACTCATGGTATTCACCAGCAATAGTTAGATTGCTGACACTGAACCCTAGATTAAGAGCTGTCACCCTGGGCTGTCACATACCTAATACATGGGAGAGAGTAATATCTGTGGTATTCCATTTTCAGTTGCGCTGGGTTTATAAATATGGGTTTCCAAAAATCAATCCTAATAAAAAATGTAAATATTAAATGAGCAAATTGATTTGATTTGTTCTTCTGTCCCAACTTGTGATCTAAAAGCAATGAGGCTGCCACACACGGCAAAAATCTACTGTAAAATAACAGTCAAAAGTCTGGCAGCAGGAGTGCTAAAAAAAACCTGTTAACAGTGAAAAACATTTTCACCAAATGTACATCAGCACTATTGGTCTTTATGAGAATGGGCAGGTTCAGGAGCTGCAGAGAATAACAGACTTCATAACCATAATTACTGTCTTCACAAGTCTTTATGACTGCCACCCAAAAAGATCCTACAATAATCTACTGTTGTGGGAGAAATTATTGTATGCCGTGGCTGGGGAATTTATACTGTTGCCATATTCAACACCGTCATGGTTAAAAGTTTAAACAAAGGCAGTACCCTGTCATGCTATGCAAATATACATCAGCACTATTGGTCTTCAGGACCTGCCAGACTTTTGACTGACATTAAACAATAGATTTTTTTACAGTGTACGCGAACAGGCGGAAGCAAGCAAAACCTGAGCAAGTTTTATGTGGTTGTAG